TAACAGTGGATCAAAGTGATGGGTGGTTAAGCATTCCTCATGGTGCATTTAGATATTGTATACAGTGGTACCTCGGGTTACATACGCTTCAGGTTACAGACTCCGCTAATACCTCGGGTTAAGAACTTTGCTTCAGGATGAGAACAGAAATCGTGCTCAGGCGGCGCGGCGGCAGCAGGAGGCCCCATTAGCTAAAGTGGTGCTTCAGGTTAAGAACAGTTTCAGGTTAAGAACGGTCCTCCGGAACGAATTAAGTACTTAACCCGAGGTACCACTGTATTGTGTTTTAGAACAGGGGACAGATTAGATGTCCAGAACATTTGCCGCGGCAGCACATGAAATCATGTTTTGTGTTTCTGTTCTTTAGCTATTGCTTCAGTTATCAATTTCAAGCGAATTCTGAAGACTACATAATGAGGTTTCTGGCTTTGTCCCTAGTTAAAACTGCTTAATCCACAAAACATTTTCAAAGTACTACACAAGCTGCAAAACATGCTTTTACTATAAAGCATTACTTATAAAGCATTGTAAAATTACACAACTTTAAATGTATAAAAATGCAAACCGATACATTTAAGAAGTTATACAAACCCTTTTTCACATTCGTTTTTAGTTTAATCAGGCAATATAAAATAAAATATTCGAGAACATTTTGATTTAATCCAATATATGATTTAAATACACTCTGACAAAAATTCTTGAAGGATTAGTGCACAGTTGTACTTCAATTAAATATACATGACATAGTTTTTAACATACCGTATTTTTCGCTCTATAACACGCACCCGACCATAACACGCACGTAGTTTTTAGAGGAGGGAAATCCGTAGGCATGCCACCCATAGGCATTCCCTCCATAACACGCACAGACATTTCCCCTTACTTTCTAGGAGGAAAAAAGTGAGTGTTATGGTGCAAAAAATACGGTAGATGCTAGAGAGCACATATTTGCAATTTCAGCCAAGTGGGTATACTTCAGTGGAATAATAGAGCATGGTAAGCTGTAAATTAAAAGACGCCTGCTTCTTGGGAGAAAAGCAATGACAAACCTAGACAGCATCTTAAAAAGCAGAGCCATCACCTTGCCGACAAAGGTCCATATAGTGAAAGCTATGGTTTTCCCAGTAGTGATGTATGGAAGTGAGAGCTGGACTATGAAGAAGGCTGATCGCCGAAGAATGGATGCTTTAGAATTATGGTGCTGGAGGAGACTCTGGAGAGTCCCATGGACTGCAAGAAGATCAAACCTATCCATTCTGAAGGAAATCAGCCCTGAGTACTCACTGGAAGGACAGATCCTGAAGCTGAGGCTCCAATACTTTGGCCACTTCATGAGAAGAGAAGACTCCCTGGAAAAGACCCTGATGTTGGGAAAGATTGAGGGCACAAGGAGAAGGGGACGACAGAGGACGAGATGGTTGGACAGTGTTCTTGAACATGAGTTTGACCAAACTGCGTGAGGCAGTGGAAGACAGGAGTCCCTGATGTGCTCTGGTCCATGGGGTCAAGAAGAGTCGGACATGACTAAACGACTAAACAACAACAACCTGTAAATTAGACATGCATGTGCATGTCCATTTCAAGTGCATAATTCTTCTAGAAAAGAAATAAAAAGAGAATACGAGGCCTGCTGGATAAGATCATAGGGCTATCTATTCCAGAATTCCAGTACCACAGTGTCCAAACAGATGCATATGAGCAGCCCACAACCTGGCCATGTGGAAAATAGTGTCTGTTGATCTCCAGCAACTGGTTTGCCTCTGAACCCGAAGGCAGCATATAGATGACAAGACTAGCAGCCAACAATAATATCTTTATTCTACATGAATTTCTCTAATCTCATTTCAGGAGCAGTAGGTTAACTGAATTCAGACCTCAGCCAAATACAAACCTCTTAAGGTAGTAAGAAATTAATGAAATGTAGCATATTTGTATAGGGATCATGTTTTCAGTGTTTTAATACATTCATTTTTTTCTCTCCGTAAAAGAACTACAGAACAGTGACCTGCAGTTAGAAAGCACAAATGCAACAGCAGCTCTCATATTCTTACTTTTGTGTTGGTGAAGTATACATTATGATTAAAGCATCAGTGTAGCAGCAGCCTTTCACCACCTATTATTGTACATCAATGCAAACACATAAAAGGATAGAAAGGTGTCTCAGCTCAAACACAAACCCTTAAAAAAAAACAAACAATAGTGTTTACCTACAGTCTGAAAATGTCATTGAACTGAGAACAAGATTATAAGATGTGGGGTGCAAAAACATATGCAGTGAAATGTATATTTTCTTGTAAATTGTATTTACAGTTTGATCTACACCATGTGTTAAGACTGTTCCTTTTAAAATACATATTAATTTCAGGAGGAATGCTATATTTTACACACAGAGTACGTTGCTGTATATTAATTGTGGCACCAGTAGAGAAGGGAAGCCTCTACTGATGCTATTTTCATATATATATATATATATATATATATATATATATATATAAGCCATTACCAGATAGACCAGTGTACAACAGTAAATAAAATAATAATCTGCCCAACAAGTAAGTCACAAAGTCCATTTCCTTATGTCATTTCATGGGGTTTGCTGTTCTGGAATGAATTACGCTAAGAGCTTAGGACCAGGTTATTTCCATCCCACTGCAAGAAGATCAAACCTATCCATTCTGAAGGAAATCAGCCCTGAGTGCTCACTGGAAGGACAGATCATGAAGCTGAGGCTCCAATACTTTGGCCACCTCATGAGAAGAGAAGACTCCCTGATGTTGGGAAATATTGAGGGCACAAGGAGAAGGGGACGACAGAGGATGAGATGGCTGGATAGTGTTCTCGAAGCTATCAATATGAGTTTGACCAAACTGCGGGAGGCAGTGGAAGACAGAAGTGCCTGGTGTGCTCTGGTCCATGGGGTCACGAAGAGTTGGTCACGACTAAACAACAACAACAACATTTCCATCCCATCCTGCTCCTCTCTCAGCATGGATCAAAACTAAACGTTAATGGTGTGTTGTGGGTGGGAATGTTAAATTTAACTACACATAAGTGAGACCTTGGGACACTTAGGTTTAGGGGCCAAATGGGTTTCTCTGTCTGGTACTTGGAACTTTCCCCAGAGCAGCCTCCTGGCTGCTGGTCTGTGATCTCAACTGCTTTTGCATGGCTGAGGTGTGTCCTTTAACTGTTAATGCCTCTTGTTTGCCTCAATGGACATGTGTGGATGAGGCAGGACAAGGTAGCAGAGAGAGAACTAACCTCTGGGTGGAACATATCCTATTGCTCAAAAAAAATCACACCCATTGCACCTACCACCAGAGAGTTATCCATGAAGTAATAGAGTCATGGGAAACTTGCAATGGGCACCATTGTCATTCTAAGAGAACAATGGAGGTGTTTGTGGTGAGTTCTGGCACTCCTTTTCTTAGAAAAATAGCACTGAATAATAATAATAATAATAATATTTATATCCCGCCCTCCCCAGCCGAAGCCGGGCTCAGAGCAACTAACAACAGTAAAATAATACAGCATTCGCAAATCAATTCATTCTAAAATCAGTTCAATCAAATTAATGACAACCATTGGGCCAGAGTTCTGTGAGGATTACCAAAGGAGGGGGTCAAACTGTGCCTTGGCCAAAGGCCTGGTGGAACAGCTCTGTCTTGTTGGCCCTGTGGAAAGATGTCAAGTCCCGCAGAGCCCTAGTCTCTTGTGACAGAGCGTTCCACCAGATCGGGGCCACAGCCGAAAAAGCCCTGGCTCTGGTTGAAGCCAGCCTAACCTCCCCGTGGCCCGGGACCTCCAAGATGTTTTTGTTCAAAGACCGTAAGGTCCTCCGTGGGACATACCAGGAGAGGCAGTCCTGTAGGTACAAGGGTCCTAGGCCTTATAGGTCTTTAAAGGTTAAAACCAGCACCTTAAACCTGATCCTGTACTCCACCAGGAGCCAGTGCAGCCCTGAAACAAGTTCTGCACCCCAACCTAAGGAACCGGGCTAAAATGATACAGCAGATCATGAACCATTGAATACTTGCAAACGAAAGCGGGGATTGTCTATTCCTAATTCTAAACATGTTGGACCTTATATAGAGATATTCCTGCAGAAGCGGGTTTCCTGCCTTTTCCTTCATTAGCCGCCATATATTCAGGCCTTTTTTTCAGGTGGAACTCACCAGAACTCAGTTCTGGCACCTCTCAGGTGGGTGCCACTGCCTTCTAAGAGAACGAGGGAACATAGCTGTCAACTTTTTCCTTTTTTTAAGGGAAAATCCTATTCGGAATAAGGGAATTTCCCTTTAAAAAAGGAAAATGTAGACAGCTATGCGGGGGAAGCATTCCCAACCCCCCTAAAATTAGCAGTGCATATGTTATACTGCAAGTGGAAACTTCCCCATATTTCAGAACACCTTGTAATTCAACACAGTGTGAGCAAAGAGCAGTGTGCAAGTGTTACTGGATTAAGACCATAAAAGACAGGAGACGCGCCCATCTCCCTTACCTTACCCTATTCATTCCGATCTTGTTCTTTTCAGCAAAACTATCCTCATAAGATGGGGAAAGGCCAGCAATTCTGCTCAGTCTTGCACAGGAGAAGATATTATTCATCTCAAAGCGATTTACATTCAAGTAAGTGCACGGGAGATGGCAGATAGGGCTAAAAATATTCCACTCAGCAATTGTGAGCTCAAAGCTTTTTCGAGGGGGGGGGGGTGAGGAGAGATACTAAGAACTTCGAAGAACCAATGCTTTCTTTGACAAAAGAAAGTAGCCTCCCTCTGGGCATAACCAGAAGCTTCAAAACATCAAAAGGTTATAACCATGACAGTGTTGCTTTCCTGAACCTCTATAAACAAATTGTTTGAACGGCAAATGTGGCTCGCTGTGTTCTTTACAATAGAAGCAAAAAACTCTGACCAATTCTCGGGGCGCTTTGGCTCTGGAGTCACAGAACCCTTCCTCCCAAATGTTTATCCTTTGCACTGTATAAGGGCATCCTGGTGCTCGCTTCGGCAGCACATATACTAAAATTGGAACGATACAGAGAAGATTAGCATGGCCCCTGCGCATAAAGATTATCTACAGAAACATTGCAAAATTAAAGAATGTTAGAGTGATGATGGATTGAAATTAAGTGGTTTCTAGCTGCACAGGTGTTAAAGTTATATATAGACTAAGATTAAGGATTAGGCATAAAAAGGTTAAAAGAACGGAAAACTGGCTATTAATAGATAAGAATTTAATGTTATATCATATTAAGATTAAGGATTGGGATTAAAAAAGAGGGAAAGAAATTGCTGGACAAACAAATTGAACTGGAATACAAAAGAGGGAGGTATGAGGAGGTCCAGAAAATAAGTAAATTCAAAAGTGGTGATGAAAAGATGGTATTGTTTTTAACTGTTTTTTCTTTTGATTTTGATTTTTTTTGTATTTTGTATTGTGTATTTTTGTATTGTGTATTTTTCTTTTTACTTTTAAATTCTTTTTTACTGATGTGTCTTTTATTATCGGAAACTTTAATAAATATTATTTAATATATATATATATATATATAAGGGCATCCTGCAGGATTCTAAAGAAATCAGCAGATCAGACACGGCATACACAGAGTTTGCATAAATCATTAACTATTTAGTAAGTATCTTTGTGGAAATGTTTGATTTTTCATTACATATCATTTCTGATCTCAGAACAGTTTAGGAAATTAGTTTATTCCTCAGCAAGTAGGGGGGATGTTAAATCAGTTCTCAACAGGATGCTGCAAAATGCATGTAGCAGTACTTAAGGAGGAAATACTTGCACAGGGAAAATGGGATCTCTGCTGCTTACGGAGGCAGACATTTTTGTCTATAACTAGGCTCATGTTCAGTCCCTAGCTTACTGCCCATAACTGGCAAATGCTTGCATCGCTACACACACAGTTTTCCTCTGGCACAAGAAGAGTCCATCTGCCTTTGTGTTTTAATATTGCTTGACAGTTATACAATCCCATTCCTTCACATCTTGCCAGTTTAAAATATCCTTAGGAAGAGGCAGAAAGCAAAATATAAATTACGTTATAGGTGAATTAATGCTGACCTGGTTTGAGTATTAAGGTGGAGTTATTGTGCATTTAAAAACAGTGCTAAGAGACATATTGCTAAAATACCATTTCGCATAAATTTGCTTTCTCCAAATGGGTCCCTGCCCCCCAAGATATTAAATTGTAATGTTTTCCCATTATTATTGTTTTGGGAAACCAACTAGGGATTCTCAGTATGTAAACCGATATGATCTATGAGCAGAGTTGAGAATCTAGATATCCAAACTATTTTGCACTCCAGTACGTGACGAAAATGGTGACAAATGTGTAATCTTGATTTTCAAAGGATACAATATTAACTGGATATTTTTTTCCTCATAAAGAAAACTGGAAACATTTCAGCAGTAAAATAGGAATGTATCATTTATCATTTAATTTCGTCTCAATTATACAGCTTCAAAAGTCAAAATACCATTCCAAGTCCTGAGGTGTAAATGAGAAGACATGCAAGCCTCTTTCCCTTCTATAATATATCCCAAAAATTGTTACTGGTGACAGCTTGTTTTGACAATATCTAAATTCAGGCTGTCTACAAGTCTTTGATGTGCACTGTTAAGGTTCAAACTTATATATAAACTTGGAGAATCTTTCATACACTTGGGACTATAAAAACAATGTGGGACCTGGCCATTATAGCCAAGCTAGCAAATGGGGTGAGTTTGAGCATCTCATTAAACCATGGATAATGATTTATTGTGATCATGTCAATCAGAGCTGATTTCCTCCTTCTGACTAGTGTATCGAGGAAACAAACCATGAGGCCCGGCTAAGTGTGAGGACTGCAATTTATTTCACACCAATGAACTACAGTGTGTAGGAAACATGGACCAGAGATTGTGGGTTTGTGGGAGTGAAATGTAAAGCAACCATTTGTTTGGAGTTAACACTAAACCAGAGATCCTGGCTTGTTTCTTCCCAGCACTGATAGGAGGAGTGGAACATGCTTTGTGGCATGTGTGAACGACAAGAGAGAGAAAGCAAGACGAGATAGTGTGAAGTTCATTCAAATCCTTTCACTGAATGCTGCGAAAATACTTCTAATTTATGCAACTGAGGAGTGTTATTTTTCATTATGTAGAATAAGTCTTATGTACTGGAGTTCTCACCCTGGGCCAGCAGGGGTATACTGTAGATAGTTTTCACTCAGGCCCACATATGCAAATAAGGAATTGAAAGTGACGTTCAGTGATTGGATAGTTAGAAAAAGTTGTTACTGTTGCTTTGTAGTTGAGCTCTATATAAGCAGGCTGGCTGAACCCTTCAGTTCAGTTCTGTTCGGGGCCTGAGAATAAACAAGAGCTGTTTGAAGAATCACTGTGTCATCTGATATGTTCACCCACAACTTAACAATAAGCTTGATGATCTGCTGGCATGTTAACACAAAAAGCAGTTAAAGTTGGATTTGATATTCTGAATAAGAATATGTCTGACTTAGAAATATTTTCTGGTTACTGTTTACATAATTTTATTAAAATAAATAACAATATCACAGGTTGCTGGGTGGTTAAGTTTTAGTGCTTGGCCTTTTGTGTTAACTCCAGAGGATAAAACCATGGGTGCCATTTTCCAAGTAGCAAACTATGCTTTTAGGAGTCTGTCTAATGCTGGATAACTTACTTTTCCAAATGGGTATTGCTATCTTCTTACAAATGTATGCATGCCTGCAACTCCCATTATGGCTAATAGTCATTATGTGGGCATGGGAGTGACAGAACAGACACCTTAGGCAGAATGTTAGTAAGTAATTGTATTGGAATTAATCTTAGAGAGATGCTGCATTTATAATTTGACTTTCATCATCTCCATAAGTACAAGAGAAGCCTACAAACCTCATCCATTCGTGAAGCAAAATTCATTTTTCAAATTACTTGTTAATGTAACTGTACAGAGTACTGATTTCTTCATTATTCTACACATCACATTCAAATTATTAAGTGTACATAGTGCTTGGGCGGTATAATTAATACTGTGAATTATGATCAGTCAAGACTTTTTGTGTCTCTCAAATAATAGAATTCAATAAAGCCGGTGGAGGCTATACAATAAAAAGAAAACATAATGAAATTAAATGGAAACTAAGACGCATTAAGAACCAGGACTTCATTTAGATCAATAAAGAAAAGGAAGGAGATGAAAGGAGCAAAAGAACCATTCCTACAAGGTCAGAACAGACAACAAGCCTGTGCTTTGCTTTTCTAAGACAAAATTATGGGTTTTTTCCAGTTAGGTTTATAGCAGAGGGGGGACAAGACTAGTTGTTACCCCAATAAATAAAATGTATTCCCCCCCACGTCCACCACAAACCTGCCCATGCATGATTATTGATAGTCACTGCTCTGGTCTTCTACCCACCCCTGCTATTAATAAAATTTGAGGGAGCTACAGCTTCTTAATAAGAATTTAACTTTCTTTTAAACCACAGTGCACAATACTAGCTTCATATATTGTTTTAAGCATTTGAGTCACAGGCAGTCATGGCATCGTACAAACAAGGCATGACACAAGCAATGGTCCACATAGCTCTAAATGCACCTCCAGCATTTTTCTAGGAAAATGCTTCCCTCAGCAATGAATGCTTCCCTCAGCAATGGCGCCCACCAGCGAGGTGCCAGAGCTGAGTTTCGGTGACTTCCAGCTGAAAAGAAATCCCTGCTCATCTCTTAGTCCATTGCCAAGCTTTGATTATTCATCAAATAAACATCAAGCAAGGCAAAAAGACAAATGTATAGTGTAGTCATAAACTAAACATTCAAGGTGTGGAAGTGGAATGTCTTAACTTCCCACAACAGCATGAAAAATGTGACTTTAATACTCTGTGTCGATGTAGTGGGTAAGCAGCTGAATGTTAGTAATTCCACATTGCTTTTTGTTCATACTTCTAATCTGCATCGGGCTGAAGTGGGGCAGGGGATTGTGCAAGTGAAGCATTAGATCTGCAGTACCTCACAGGGACACGGGTGGCGTTGTGGGCTAAACCACAGAGCCTAGGACTTGCTGTTCAGAAGGTTGGCGGTTCGAATCCCCGCGACGGGGTGAGCTCCCGTTGTTCGGTCCCTCCTCCTGCCAACCTAGCAGTTTGAAAGCACGTCAAAGTGCAAGTAGATAAATAGGTACTGCTCCAGCGGGAAGGTAAATGGCATTTCCGTGCGCTGCTCTGGTTCGCCAGAAGCGGCTTAGTCATGCTGGCCACATGACCCGGAAGCTGTCTGCGGACAAATGCCAGCTCCCTCGGCCAATAAAGCGAGATGAGCACCACAACTCCAGAGTCGGTCACGACTGGACCCTAATGATCAGGGGTCCCTTTACCTTTACCTTTACCTCACAGGAATGATTGTGAGGGAGCAGAAATTATTACAGATGTCAGAAAGAGATACCATCCCTTTATTAAACAACAATACTTCACACAATCTAATGCTTTTACATAGAACTGATAAGTACCATTGTGAAATACATCTTAAAACAAAAACCAAAAACACCAGACTGGGGGCTTTTCACTTCCTATCTTCGATTAGTAAAGTGCTTTTTTCTTTTCTTTTTTTTACAAGCGTAGGAGGAGTAGAAACAAAAGCTTCTTGCAGTTTATCATCTAGTTGCCAAACCAAAACCGGCAAGGACAGCAAAACATGAGAATATGAATAAATAAATAAAATCAGGAACAATGTGATTGCTGTTATCTTGGAACTTAAGACACTCATAATTATCTTTTATAAACAAGGGACATTTAGTGCAATAATAAGTACTCACATACAAAAGAGGCAAAATGTATATTTACAAAAAAAAAAAATAATGCAACATTTTCACACTCAAAGGCACTCAAAAAAAGGCCTTCATTTTTGCTACCACCCTCTACTAAAAATGTTGATCATGTGCCATAAGTTTCCTAGTTTTAATTAGAAAGAGTCTGGTCTGGTTCTGAGTCAAAGAGTCTTGTTCCTGCATATATTGCTGTTATTGGCTTAGGGGAAAGGTTAAACAATCCTACACGAGTAGAAACTGGACCCACTACAAGCTTCTCAA